GTGTGAAGGATTTCAGTTTTTGACCATTTAGTATGATATTGGCTGTTGGTTTTTCACACATGGCTTTTACCAGATTGAGGTAGGGACCATCTATTCCAATTTTTTGTAGGGTTTTTATCATAAATGCATGTTGGGTTTTGTCAAATACTTTTTCTGCATCTATGGAGATAATCATATGGTTTTTGTCCTTGGCTGCATTGATATAGTGTATTACATTGTTTGATTTGCATAAGTTGAACCTGCATCCCTGGGATGAATCCCACTTGGTTATGGTGTACAATCTTCTTGATGATCTTCTGCATTCTGTTTGCCAGTATGTTATTAAGGATTTTGCATCTGTGTTCATTAGGGAGATTGGCCTATAGTTCCCTTTATTGGTTGGGTCTTTCTCTGCTTTGGGGATCAGGGTGATGCTTGCTTTCAGGAATGAATTTGGGATTATTGCTTCCCTTCTAATTTCATTGAAGAGTTTAAACAGTAGTGGCAGTAGTTCTTCTCTAAATGGCTTGTAGAATTCAGCAGTGGAGCCATCAGGACCTGGGCAAGTTTTTAATTATGTTTTCAATTTTTTGATTGATATTGGCTTTGGAATTTTTAGTTCTTCTTCGTTCAACTGTGGTAATTCATATGTATCTAGAAATCTGTCCATTTCTTCTGTGTTTTCCATCTTAATGGCATATAGGTTCTGGAAGTAGGTATTGATGATCCTCTGGATTTCTACTGGGTCCATTGTAATTTTACCCTTTTCATTCCTAATTGCATGGATTTGTGTCTTTTCTTTCCTTTTTTTGATAAGGTTGGCTAAGTGTTTGTCAATTTTGTTCATTCTTTCTAAGAACCAGCTCCTTCTTCATTGATTTTTTTGTATCATTCTCTTAGTCTCCATTGCATTGATTTCTCCTCTGATCTTTATAATTTCCTCCCTTGTATGAGCTTTGGGTTTGTCCTGCTCTTCTTTTTCTAGAAACTTGAGGTTCAGCATCAGATTGTTTAATTGGGCTCACGCTGTTTTCCTAATATGAGTATTCACTGCTATGAATTTTCCTCATAAGACTTCTTTGTGTCCCATGGATTCTGATATGTTGTATCGTCATTATCATTTAGTTGAAGGAACTGTCTGATTTCTTCTTTAGTTTCCTCTGTGACCCATTGGTTATTCAGAAGTGTGTTGTTCAGTTTGCATGTGTTTATGAAATTTTTCTGATTTCTTTTGCTGTTGATCTTCAATTTCATTGCACTATGGTCTGATAGTTTACAAGGGATAACTTCAGTTCCTTTGCACTTACCTAAACATGTTGTATGAGTGAGTATGTGGTCTATTTTGGAGAATGACCTGTGTGTAGCTGAAAAGAATGTGTATTCTGCTTTTGTGGTGTGGAACACTCTGTAAACATCCATTAAGTTCATTTGTTCAATAGTTTGATTCAGTTCTGTTACTTCATTGTTTATTTTTTGTCTAGTTGATCTATTTGTGACAGTGGAGTTTTGAGGTCCCCCACTACTATTGTATTAGTGCTTTTTTGATTTTTCATGTGTATTTCTATTTGTTTTATATATTTGTCCGCACTAGTATTTGGTGCATATATCTTTATGATTGCCACCTCTCCCTCTTCGATTATTCCCTTTACAAGGATATAGTGGCCTTCTTTGTCCCTCTTAATCAGTGTTGGTTTGAAATCCATTTGATCTGCAAATAGGATAGGTACTTCTGCTTTTTGAGGGTGTTCCTGTCACACGGAGTATTTTTTTCCACTCTTTAATTTTCAGTGTATGAGTTTCTTTTTGAATTAAGTGTGTTTCTTGTATGCAGCATATTGTTGGATCTTGCTTCTTGACCCATTCTGCCAGTCTATTTCTTTTGATTGGTGAATTGAGACCATTTATGTTGATTGTTGTAATTGATATGTATTGACTTATCCATGTCATGACCTTTTCCTGTTGTTGGATTGTCCCCTTTGCATTTTATTTCTTCTCTTGCCTGATGGATTCATTTTGCTGGGCTTCATGGCATTTTGACTCTCATTGTCTTTTCCCAGTACATTGTTTAAAATTTTGGGGAGTGCTGGTTTGGTAGTCATGAAGTTCCGCAGGTGCTCTTTGTCACAAAAGTATCTTATTTCTCCATCAATTTTGAAAGATGTTTCTGCATGGTACGTCAGTCTGGGTTGGAGGTTGTTTTCCTTTAGGGCTTGGAATATGTCACTCCAAGCTCTTCTTGCCTTGAGAATTTGTGTTGAGACGTCTGCTGTGATTCTGATGGGCTTTCCTTTGTATGTGATTTGTTTCTTTTCTCTTAACTGTGTGTAGGATTTTGTTCTTCTGATGGCTTTCTGGAATCTTAACTATTATATGCCCATGTGTAGATTTTTTTTGATGGTGGCTAGTTAAGAGTCCTAAATGCCTCACTTATCTGTATGTCAAATTCTCTTCCCTTGCTTGGGAAGTTTTCTGCCATTACTTCTGTGAACAGTTTTTAATGTCATTTGCACTTTCTCTGCTTTCTTCATTAACTCCAGTCATTCTTATGTTATTCTTCTTTGCTTCATCTAGCAGGTGTTTTATTGATTTTTCATAGTCCCTTACTATTTTTAAGAAATTTTTCTTTTCCTGACCAGTAATTGCAGTCCTGTCTTCTGTATCTGAAATTCTGTCCTCACATTGGCTCATTCTGTTGTGTAAACTTTGAGTGGAATTTCTAATCTTCTGGAAATGTGTTTCCATCTGTCTTATTGATTCTATTTGTTTCCTATGTTGGGATTCCATCATGTTCCTCACTCCTCTATTTTCTTTATCTGTGTTTGCTCTAGATTTACTAACCATGTCTTGCACTGTTGGCACAATTTCTGTTGCTATCTGAGAAATTATTTCTGATTTCATGTTTTTCCAGATCCTCTTTCGTTGCCAGTTCAGGGAGTCCAGGTGGTTGGGTATCAGATTATTCTATCTCGTTGCCCTTTGGGGTTCCCTTAGGTCATCTGAAAGTCTCATTTTAAGACTTGCTTACCTGTGTTCTCATTTCAACAGATATAGCCTGCTGTGCCTTTGTTGATGCAACTTTTTGCCCACCCAGTGGTGTTCAATTCTCAGCAAGCCACTGAGTGGCCTTTTCTCTGCTGCTCACCACTGTACCAATTCCTGGGTTCAGTGGTATCCTTCTGGATCCCTGAGCCATCCTGTTATCCAGTCGGGGTTCTAGCTGGGGCCTGTGCACACTTGGGATGGTGTCTAGACATGCCTCTGGCTAGGGCCTGTCCGCCTATGAAGCTGTTGTCTGCGAGGGCCTTTGGCTGGGGTCTTTGCACTCTAGTCTCTGGTGTCTGGGCAGGCTTCTGGCTAGGGTCTGCTCACACTTAACAGTGGTATCGGGGCGGGCCTCTGGCTGTTGCTTGTGTGCCCCTGTGCACAGGTGGGTCTTTGGCTGGGGCTTGTGAGCCCAAGGGACTTGGGTTGGGGCAGGGCCCTGGTTGGACCTGCCTGCAGCCGCGCCACTTCTGTCCACATCTGCTTCTCCCTGGGATCTGCGTGCATTTACCAATGGTATTGAGGCAGGGAGTCTTTCACTCTTAAGTATGATGTTGCTTGTAGGCTTTCTACAGATGCCCTATGTAATGCATGTTGAGCAAGTTTCCTCAGTTTCTTACTTGCTGGAAGTTTTCATTAGGATTGGATACTGATTTTTTTTTTAAAGCTCTTGACCTGAAAATGTTGAGATGATCATATGGTTTTCTTTTTAGTTTGTTAGTAAGATGAGGTAGATGTGGTTCCACTGAACTAAATCCCTGGCCCTCAAGGGTATATGAGTAGCTGTTCTCCCCTCCTAGAACCTCCAAACAAGCTCTCATTGTCAAAAGAGAAGTACTGTCAGAATTTGGTGTCCTGAGACTGGTATGGTTTTGCATTTTGTTCTATCAATATTAAACCCCGAAAACTAGGTTATGGGCAATATTAAATGTAAACCTTTTTGCCATTAATTGGTTTAGTTGCTCCTTTTTGTGAAATTCAGCTTGCTACTCCAACCTTTTGAGTAATAGTGTTTTATTTGAATTCACCCCACTAGAAAATTATGAGTCAAGACTCAATTAGAGAAGCAGCATACTCTTGATATTTCAAACAAATTTAGATGAGGGAGATTGTTACACAGCTGTTAGAAAGGCTGTATCCAACCCCCACAATATTTTTGCCCCTAATTCCTTTTTATATAACCAGTCATCATACCTGTGATCAGTAGTAGAAAAGGAACATTCCAAATGAAGTACAGTTCTTCCAGATCTCTCATATTTCAGCCTCTTCACTAAGAATAGTAGAGACACTAGCTAAATACAAGACTTGTTTGGGAGGAAATGGCATCTATCTTTAACTTTAGAAAAGAATATGTTTGTAGGACATAACACAGAAGAAATTTCTCTGATGCAGAATTATTTTTTTTGTAGTTGTTGACACAGAAGTATGAAAAAATGAAATGTCTATGGAAGAATTATAATTAGACTTCATCCATCTAGGTAGAACTGGAATGTTCTCCATTCTTTCCTTTTTATTTTGCTTCCCTCTTTTCCCTTCCTGCAGATAGGGTCTCGGTCTATGGTCCATCCTGGCCTTGAACATATAATCCTGCCTCAGCCTCATGAGCTCTAGCGTTATAGGCATGTGTCACCATGCCCGACTCTCCCTAACCACTTCCTTTTGTTTTATTAGAAATGTCTTATCTCTTACAAAAATGTAACATAATCATGTTGTGTGTTCTCGTGTTATTCTTTTTTAAATATGCGTATTTGTGTATTTCAGTGGGAGAACTGAAGTCCAATCAGTTCAGTATGGCAAAGAAAAGGCAAATAAAGACAGAGTATTTGCAAGGTAAGCCAATTCTGTTTCAGAGTCTGCATTTTAAAAAGGGATTAAAATTATTAAAAACTTTCTATAAATTATTGCAGAACTATCACATAATCCTTTTCTTTGATTACATAATAAATTATATTGAGGGAATGATAAACAAACTTGCCTGGTTTAGTGTTTTTTAAAATGCATAAATATTACTCATGTACCAAGTATTGTAGTTTTACTAGGCTAAATCAGGTGTCATTATTAATATAACATTTTATTGGAAGATTGATGATCTCTTAAAACATTTTTAAGAAATATAATGATATATTTCATATGCTATCTGACCTGTTTACAGATTTACTTATCATATTGTTACAAGACAGATAAGTTGCTTTTGATTTATTTGCAATTTATTATCTTCATTTTTTTAGGGTTTGTTAGAGCCAGTGTGCTTTTTAATAAGTGAATTGACACATTTTCGAAAGGTTTAGCTAGTTTTATGAGCAAGGATAGAGTATAGATTATTAAATGAAGACTGAATACCCAGACCAATGAGAAGAAGTTCATTGCAATAATAAGTAAAAAAATCATGAAGACCTGAAATACAACACTGACAATGGAAGGTATCTAACAAAAAGATTAGATACCGGCGTTTCCTTACAGAGTTATATGCTTTGTGTCTACTATTATTAGAGGTTTCAAATTTTAATGAATAGAACTAAAGAATTTTTGCTTTTGTTTTTATTTTGTTTAATTTTGCTATTAGGGGCTGGGGATGTAGCTCAGTGGTAGAGCACTTCCTTAGCATGTGCAAAGCCCTAGGTTCAGTCCCCAGTACTACCAAAAAGAAAACAAAGAGGCAGGGGATCCTAAACTTTAATGTTTGAATTTATCCAAAAGTCCTTCCTATTTTGTGTTGCTGGAGGAAAAGGAGTTTTGTGTTTTGAGTTGTTTTTTTTTTTTACATTCCCTCCCAAAGTGAAAATCACTAATTTTTCTAGTAGTATGACTAATAGGTCATTATATTTAAGAACTCCAGCAGTATCAAATAATGAAGAAAAATTGTCATCCCAAGACAACCATTAAAAAAATTCAAGTTTGTTGTTTGTTTGTTTGTTTGTTTGTTTGTTTGTTTTTGGTACTGGGGATTGAACTTGGGACCTTGTACTTGCAAGGCAGGCAGTGTAACCACTGAGCTAAATCCCTGGCCCTTTATGTTGCTTTTATCACTTACCATATCATGTACATTTTCTTTGATGTTGAAAAATCTAGTTATTTACAATGGCAATAAGTCTTTACACAGGTAAAGTATTTTATCATTTTATCATAAAGTGTAGAATTAACTTCAAGATTCCTGTTTGTACTGCTTATCTTTGCCTTGTTCCTGCCTCTTAGGATTACTTGAGGCTCTCAGTTATATGTCCTCAATGCTTGTAAAAATAAATAATACTGTGAGCTTCTTGGAAGTAAGAGCATTTGAAACAAAAAATTATTGAAATTTATTTTTTTGTGTTTAAATAATGAAATTTACTAGCCTTTTCCCCTTTTGTTCCGGGGTTACCTCCGTTCTGATTTGTATATGAATAAGCTACTCAACAGACCAGTCTACAAAATGACTTGATATGGAAAGGATTCAGCTGGTTAGGACTGTAGCATTTTGCCCTGATAAATTTACTTGAATTCGAATGATATAATTTATTTCAGCATTTCTTCAAAAAAGTTTTGAAATCATTTTCTTGTATCTTGTTTTTAGATTTATGAGGAAAGATTATGTTTACTAAATATAAATCTTAGTGGTACATTAGTGGCTTGAGTATTATGGAAGGGAAAAAGTCAACACAGAAATGCTTATCCTAGTACATAGGACTACTGAAGTTACTCAAAATCTTCCCTTTTACAGTGTTAGATACCTTTTTTTTCCAGTTAGAAATTGCTAAAAACCCATTGAAAGATAAAATGTATAGTAAAGGTTAACATGAAATTGTTTTCCTTTCAATTTCTCTTGAGAAGTAATTTACTTCCTCTTCTAATTTAAAATGTATTCCCGTTTTTTGTTTTTGTTTGTTTGTTTGTTTGTTTGTTTTTCCTTCTCAGAATAGAACTTTACTGGCAGTTGAACTCAGGGCCTTCACATTGAGTTACTTCCCTAGCTGCCCTGCCCACTTTTTTGAGAGGAGCTCTTGATGCCTAACTTGTTCTAGTTCTTAGTACATAACATATTTGCAACAAACATTTCAGTACTTTTTAAATTAAAACTTTTTTTGTTTCTTAGTGTTATAATTGCACTATAACAATATATTACAACTTTTTCATTCCTAACAATAAGCTTAACTTTCTTCTTACTTGATATTTATTAAAAACAGTAATGTGATTAGTTATACTGTAGTATGATGTCTGGGACTACCAAATCATAGTTGTACTTACATGTTAAGGTTAATATCACATATAAATGGTTTTTTTATAAGTCTTGTTTTAATACTTTTGGTCAGTCAAATTTTAGAAGTATGCAGTTATAACTGCATTTTAATTGTTCATTTTATTATTAACATATGAAGTTGATCAGTTTATTTTATAAAATAAATTTGCTTTGTTTGATAAATAGTAAATCTAGAATTTCAGTACAATAAGACTGTCTTTAGTCCTTCAGTTTTTCTGAAATTGTATGAATTCTCCTTAAAATGAGTCATCAGTTGAGAAGAGATTTTGATGGTACTGGGCTGTTTTAATGATCTCTGTCTGAAAGATTAAGCCTTTCTAGGATTGCTTTTCTAATAGATTAGCAACTTATTGTGATGCTAATTTTATCTGTCAAAATTGTCTGATGGTTTTAGCTATTTTAAAGTTATTTTGGTAAAGTATTAGAATTCTAGAATGCTTGTCTTCCTTCAAATTTTAGTTGATAGAATACTTAGAAAAGATTTCTCCTTAAATTTATATGGTAAGATTTTTATAACAATAATAAAGTTATTCTTTTTTTCTTTTTTATATATCAACTCTGAATTGCTTTCACACCTTTTCAGTTATACAATAATATTTAAGAAGAGAGCAAAACAGTGTTCTCATATAATAGAAAAATAAGGTGCCTTGGTCAGAAAATAAATTTACCACATTGCAAACACACTGCAGTGTGGTATTTTTTTCTCTGAAATTTCCACACTCAACAGGAAACATAGACAGCAAGTTTGAGTGGGTGGGTCTCTGAGGTTAAAACTCTTAATAAAATACTTGAAATTTAGTTTTAAATTCAAAGAATTTCTAACTATGTTTAGTCCAATAACAAGAAGAAAGTGTTCTGACCACTTAATGCTAGCTTAAGTATACTGGATTTTTTTTTCTTCCTTCTAAGGATATTTTCTTCTCTTACAAAATGAAAGTAGCTGATCTCCTAACTATAGTTAGTGAACTCTCTTGCAGCATGTATTTAGTAGTCTAATATATGAGAAAAGAATAGCTTAGAAACCTTAAAGATTACCACTACTAGAGGAACCATAAATGAATGGTAAGTTTAAGATTTTATTTTAATAATTGAATATACAAGGTTTTCATTGTGTTGTTACTAATGTCAGTATTTGCACTGCAGTATGAGGGGATTGGACTAAATGCTATCCATAATTGTTTTCAAGTCAAAAAATCCTACAATTTAAACTCAGTGGGTGATGTTCATGCTTAAACTGCTCTGAATTTACATACTTCTGGAAAATGAAATCTGAGTTGATATCTTTTTTTTTCTTAGCCAGTAACCTTACATCACTTTTAGAAATTGTCTGGTGCAGTGGCATGCATCTGTATATAATTCCACCTACTTGGGGGGCTGAGATAGGAGGATTACAAGTTCAAGGCCAGCCTAGCCAACATCGCAAGATCCTGTCTTAAAAAGAAATATCAGCAAAACTAGATTAAAACAAGCTAAACATGTTTCAGAATTCTAGTAAGTAAAATAGAAGTAGCCATCAGTTTTTAAATTAAGGAGATATCATTAGGTAAAAGTAGAAAAGTTCAGGGCTGTGAATCCCTGAAATGATAGGACATCATTTTTGTGGTTTGTATTCATAAGTGACTTAAGTTATTCATAAAACATTGCATTCAAAATTTGGAAACTCATAAGTCATGAAATTCAGGAGGTGAAGAGGGGCCATAGAATCATATTGTATTAGTATACTTGTAATAATTTAAACAATTTGTCCATGAAAGGCCAGAATTAGGATTGAGTTGGGTCCCTACTCATTGTTATTTTAATGCTCCTTAATGTATGTAATGTTTATAATGAACAGTGTGTAATGTTATTAATACTTTCTGGAGTATTATTTGGTCAGCACTATGCTTCTTAGATCAGTTTATTCTTATTTCTTCTTTTTATGTGTTTAATGTATTGGAAAGGAAATACTATGTTACAAGTGCAATTGCAAACTTTATAACATTAGAATTTTAGTTTATAATGATCTCATTGTTTAAATGTAATTGGATGACTTAATGCTGCTTTTGTTCTTTGCTTGAGAAAAATGTATTTATTCAAGAATACATGCGTAGTATTTGTTGAGAGGGAAAAAATTATGGCCAACTTTAATAAATGTTAATATGCTAAAAAGTAAGTGTAGTACTAAGCAATACTTTATTATTTTTGGAAAATCTAAAAGTAAATGAAAACTAACATAACAAAGACCTATGAATCCTATAAATTATAACCAAAAATAGTCCTGATTTTAAAATTTTATCTAAATTTTTATGATCTAGTCTTTGTAATAAGATAACAGAATCTGTATTTTTAAAAATCATAATACAATGGAAAATAATTTTATGTGCTTTAACAAATTTATAACAGAAATAATATTTGTAAGATTATTTATTATATATTTATATAAGTAGTTTAATTCATTTTGTTAGTGTCATATTGCCTCTGTATGTCAAAAGCTAGTTCTTTGAGGGGACAGGGATTTAGCTCAGTGGTTCCACCGCCTGCCTTGCAAGCCCAAGGTTCCGGGTTCAATCCCCAGTACAAAGAAAAAAGGTAGTTATTTGAATAGATGCCATATACTTTCAATGAATTTTAGTCAGTATCTTAATTTACATATAAAAAACACTTTAATTGTTGACAGTCCTACAATTCTAAAGGCTTATGATCTGTTTATAGACCAATTTGTCTAGATTTTTTTTTTTTTTTTGGTACCGGGCATCGAACTCGGGTCCTTGTGCTTGTGCAGCAGGTGGTGAAACCACTGAGCTAAATCCCCAGCCCCTCTGTCTAGATTAATATAAAGATCTTTTTCTTGAAAAGATCATTTAGTTCTCATATTTATCATTATGACAAAAGATAAAATATTTATAGGGAATAAAATGTTCTTCTCCCTGCCACAAGACCAGAATAGTTAACCTTCCAAAATGTTTTTGTCAAACAAACAAAAAATATTCCACTGACCTTCTATATTTAAAGAAGAAAACAATTATAAATAATATTTGATAAGCACAATTGTCATTTTTGTCCTGTCGTCATTGAGGAAGAGGTTCAGGATTTAAAGACATTCAGAAGATACTATGGTATGAATTGTTCAACACATCTGGTAATAAGTAGAGTTCCAGATAGTACTCTACAATAGGAGTAAGCAATATCTATAATATTGATAAGGTTTGAGAAAACATTTGGTAACAAACTGTTCCCTTTTTTTTCCTGTTTCCTTTTCTGATTCTCTTACTTTCCACTTCCTATTTTCTATCCTATTCTTTCTGTATTGTTTGTCCTTACTTCTTCATGTAAAGCAAATGTCCCTTTTTAGGATATTTGGTAAATAACATCTAAATGAATTCATTTCTGGAATATTATACTGTTAATATAATTGACGGTCTAACATATGACCAATTAAATATTTGAATTTGTAGTTTGGGATATAAAAAGGAAAGAAGTAAATATTATTTAAATATTTCTGCAGATCCCCAAGTAAGCCATTGGCACGGAAATTAATGGATTGGGAAGTAGTAAGCAGAAATTCAGTATCTGATGACAGGTTAGAAACACAAAGCCTTCCATCACGGTCTCCACCTGGAACTCCTAATCAGTAAGTAAAAACTATAGTATCAGGTCTTCATTTTGCTAATTTCTAAATAATTGGCTGTATATTTCCATAGCCTAAAGATAAAAATATGTAAACGTTTAACTCTTCTGATCAAACATGAATTTTGTTGCTCTAAAGCATTATTTCCTCTTCTCTTGCTCATTGGAAAAGTAGCATGGAATAGTCTGGGGGAATGAGGCAGTAGAGCAATGAACAAGGACCGTCACTTTCTTCAACGGTTGCCTTTCACAGAAAAGATTCCCAGCAAATAAATCAAGATATTAGTGAACTTTAAATCTCATATCATTGTTATTTACATAATCCTTTGCCATGTGGTTTCCCAACAGAATTTTCGAAGGAGCATAAATTGTTTGAAAATGCTTTACAAATGATTGTGATTCTCTTACTTAAAAGCTCCTTCCCAGTCATGGCTGTACCACTTCTATGGTGTAGAAAGGGATTTGCAGTAATAGTCCCCTAAGTTTAGCTGTAGCTATGCTAAAAAGAACTGTGATTCAGCATTAGCCTAGCATTTCTCATGAAAAGTGTATGCTTTTAGTGTAGCTAATAAGTTAATAAATTTATCCTAGCCAAAGATATTGATTACAGTATCTTAATTTTGCAATAGAAAAAAGTTTACTGTATATAATTAAGATAATATTAAACAGATGTGTCAGCATATTAACATACTTTGTTAATACATGAGATTCATTTATAAAATACTTGAATTTGGGTGAGAATATAATATTTGAAGAAGTTTTCCTTTAGAAATATTTTATATACATTAATATTCAATAAATTTGCACTAAACTTGAAACACTAAGTCACTGATGGGTGTTAGCTGAAGAATAAACTTATGTTAGACATAAAGTATTGCATAAACAGCTTGGTTTACAGAAGTTTATTACTAAGTGTCTTCCCTACTACTAGAAAAATTGGGTTTAGTTTCCATCTTGCCAGTTGCAGATTGTTAAATAACTTTTCTTAATAAAACACTGAATGAACTGTACAAAGGCTCATCAGCTTGTTTGAAAAAATTTCAGAACTTTCTTTTTCTGCCTCCTTTTGTAGCCAGCATTTCTCTGTTTTTTGCTAGCACCATTAAACATTTATAGTGATGTATTAGTCAGCTTTTCCATTCCTAGGAAAAAATACCTGACATACAGAATTTAAAGGAAGAAAGATTTATTTCAGCTCATGGTATTAGAGGATTCAATACATGCCTGGCTGGTTCCAAGGCAGAAACATCTTGGCAGAAGAGCATGGCAGAAGAAACCTGTCCACCTCATGGTAGCTGGAAACAAAGAGAGGAAGGATAGAACCAGAAAAAAGAGGAAGGATCCAGAGATAATGCACCCTTTCAGGTCACACCCTAAATGACCCACCTCCTCCAGCCAAGCCTTATCTTTTAATAACACATTAAGCTGTGACTGCATTAATGGATCAATCCACTGATGAGTTTAGTGCCCCATGATTCAGTCGCCTTCCAAAAGCCCATCTCTGAACACATGAGATGTTTGAGGGACATTTTATATCTAAATTATAACAAGCAAATTAAGAAGACAAGAACTTTAGTCCAAATGACTGAAGTAATTTAATTAGCAGGAACTCTGATTATGTGTTCTGGTTAATAAAATAATTTTAGATATGATCTGAAAAGTTTTTTTTTAATTCCTAAGAGATAGTAAAGTGGGGGTGGTATGAAAGTGGACCCCAGAGTCACTGTACATTTGGACCCTGGTTGATTAATTTCCATCTTTTTCCTCTTCTAAAATTTTTATTTATAGTAATGATGTGTTTCTTACATTATTATTTTAAGGACTAAGCGAGGTGATATATGCAAAATACTTAGAACAATGCATGGTGCATAGTAAATGCTCAAGTAGTTCTTGTAATTAGTGATTGAATAATTATTTACATAAATGTCATTTTTAAAGATAGAAATACATGGTATTTAGTGACTACTCTTAGGATTTAAAATTCTCATAAATAAAAAACTTTTTAAGAATTAAAGAGGAGCCAGTCATAGTGATGCATAACTCTGAGGGGCTGAGGCAAGAAGATCAAAGGTTGATCCCAATCTGAGCAATTTAGCAACTTTGTGAGACTGTCTCAAAATAAAAGGACTGAAAATGCAGTTCAGTGTGAAGGCCCTTGGTTTAATCCCTAGTACCACAAAAAGAGGAAATGAGAAATCAGACTAGAAAATATTTCTAAATCATTTATTCTAATCAAGTATAAATTTTGAATAAGACATATAAAGTTGTAGTAACTGAAACCTGGAAACTAAATTAGAGATAATAGATGATTAAATGGATAACATCCTTGTGGCAGATTGTTGATTATGGTTCTGCTCAGATTCTGACATCCCATTCTGTGTTCTTTCTGTTTATATCATACTGTTTATGTCACAGACCCATGTCACAGACTCCTTAGTCAACCCTGCTAGTCTTATAGCACACAGTCACTTTCTCATACAATCATATGATTAATAGACTGGAAAAGTTAAATTGAATGAACTGAAACATATTTATTTAGTTTTTCTTCCTTTTCATTTAGTCGAAATTCTACATTCACACAAGAGGGAACTCGGTTACGACCATGTTCCGTTGGTCATTTGGTAGACCATGTGGTTCACACTTCCCCAGGTGAAGTTTTTGTGAATCAGAGATCTCCATCATCAACACAAGCTAATAGCATCGTTCTGGAATCATCACCGTAAGACCTTTTTTCATTTTGCTTCCTAATTCTGTGTTTTCAAATGCCCCAAACTGTTTTATTTGAAATAATCTGGGGAAGGCCGGGGATTTAGCTCAGTGGTTCCACCACCTGCCCTGCAAGTGCAAGGACCCGAGTTCCATCCCCGGTACCAAAAAAAAAAAGAAATAATCTGGGGAATTAGGGTATTTGATACAAGATTTTAGTATGCTGTTTTTAAATATATATTTGTAAATGAGTTTATTTGTCCTTCAGAATACTTTTTGCCTTTTTCCTCTCTCCCCAAGTCACAGGCTGTTCTTTTACCTTTTGGGGCATCCATTCAAATATTTGTGAATATTTTTGTAGCATTGTGGTCAGGGAGTAGGGTAGTGAAAAGTAGAGCTTTCCTAATTTTTTTCTAGTTGTGGGGATGGAACTCATGGCCTTGTGTATGCTATGCTAAGCAAGTACTCCAGTACTGAGTTACATCCCCAGCTCCTCTTAAAATTTTTTAAGGAAAGACGTTACAAGGATAAGGGGACAGTGTTGAGAAGATTAAGTAACAAGAGAGAACTAAGATCACAGGCAAGCATCATGGTGTATGCCTAAAATCCTGGCACTCTGAGGGACTAAAGGTGGATCTCAAGTTCAAGGCCAGACTTGGCAATTTAACTAAATAGTGAGGGACTGTCTCCAATAAAAAACAGGTAGTTTAGTGTGAAGACCCTGAGTTCAATCCCCAGAGTCATTGCAAGGGTGTCCTCACACTGAATAAGTCATAGAAAGCATACACATTTCATTGCTAAAGTTTATCCTACCTCTTATTGTAACCAAGTGATACGTAAATTTGTCTTTTAAATTCAGTACTAATGTCCCATCAGTTTAATGCTCAACCTGCATATTTTCACACTAATATGCAATGTCTTGATTTATTACATTTATTTATTAATACAGCTAATGTGCAAGTGGGAGATTTGGAGGGGAAATATAATACCTACGAGATTCATAGATAGGTAAGAAAATCCATTAATTGTTGAGAAGGAGAAAGGAGTGTAAGAGTAAATGTCATCAGGCTTGAAGAAAAGATGAGTCTTAGAGTAAGGGGTAAAAAGAGATGGATTGGTTGGTTGCTACACAGTTATAATAGGAAAAACACAGCCTGATACTTGAGTCAGAGTGGTCTTTGGGTAGGGTCAACCAAAGAAGACTAATGAGCTATCAGGACAAGTAGAGATTAGCCTTGGTAACTTATATCTCTGTAAAACATTTTGATTATACATATATATTATAAGGAGGAGGATAAATGCACATTGCACAGTGTCATCTGTAGGAATGAGTTGGTAAGAGATGCAATTGGTGGAAATCTAATGTTTTATTTAAAGTTATAATTATAAATTTTTGACCAGTTTCTGGTAATCATGTATTTTCTGATTTTGAAACTTTAAAAAAAAAAGTAATTCTTGAGGCCTAATCAAATTATCTTAATCTGTGTGTGTGTGTGTGTGTGTGTGTGTGTGTGTGTGTGTGTGTGTGTGTGAGAGAGAGAGAGAGAGAGAGAGAGAGAGATTTAAATCAAGGGGGTGCTGATCTACATCCCTGTTTTATTTTGAGATAGGATCTCACTAAGTTTTCCATTGTTGGCCTCAAACTTGGAATATTTCTGCCTCAGCCCCCCTAATACCTGAGAATATGGGCATCACCATCATGCCTCGCCCACAAATTTTCTTTCTTTTTTTTTTCTGGTCCTGGGGATCAAACTCGGGACCTTGCACTTACAAGGTGGCACCACTGAGCTAAACCCTCGGCTACAAAATTTTTTACGTGTGTAAATTTTGTACAGTATATGTTTTGAGCCCTGATTACCTCCCCAACCCCATCCTTTGGATCATTTTAGGCATATTACTAATTTTAATTATATTGAAACCATTGAGTTAGAAATATTTCAATTAAATGTGGATGTATCAAAGCCCTAGTCTCTACTGGTCTTGCTTTCTGCTTATAAAAACATAGTTTCTGTTTTAGAATTTAAATTTAAAATAGTACCATTTATACCCCAAATAGCACAATTGGTTGGGTGATTGATTTTGTGTGCTGCAGCTTGATCTCAGGGCTGTGTTCTACCACTGAGCTATAACCCAGCCACAGAATGGTTTAAAATAGTCATTTTCAGGATATTCTCTTCTAAGTCCCTGGAGTTCTGTTAAGGCCTCGGGTAGGTAGGAGGGCTGCTAAGCTTTTATCTTATTTTATAAATTGGCTTCTGAGAAGCATTCCATTTGAAAAATATATTTCACTGCTACAAAAAATTTAGGAATCTCTGATTTAAAGTTACTTTTCTCCTGCCTTTTGCATTTTCTTGCTGTGAGGTGCAACTATATAATATAGTCATGAGAACACAAGTTCTGAAGGTTATACCATCTCAATTTTCTCACCTGTTAAAAATAATATGTTAATAGTATCTACCTCAGTGTTGCTCTTAGCATATAATAATTACATACCTTTCTTCAATTAATTTACACTGATAGCTTTTAGGTATATTATCAATAATTTATTTGTCTGCATTTTTGAAGTATGTCTGATTGAATACAGAGGAATTCCTTAAATTCTTAACTTTATTCTTAGGTCTCTAATCATAAGAAACTTTATGCAGACCTCCTAACCCTTTACTTTTAAATCCATTCCCCTGAGCCATGTTTTTCTGGACTGATCCATTCCAGTCTTTTCTAATGAATCCTCACAGCTTTGTTCATACTTCATCAAGTCCTTTTACTTAGACGTCAGATTTTGCCTTTCTTTTGCTTCCTCTCAACTACTAGCATTGATAACTTTCATCTGTAAACTCAGCTTTTCCCAGTTCCCTGTTCAATCTTGATCAAATCTAGCAATGTATTGTGAACCCTGCAAATACAAGGCTGCTCCAGGATAAAGAAATGAAAAAAATAAAAGAGACTATAGATGAAAAGAAGATATTAAGACATAAGGACTCAGGGGATTCACCATATTAGATGCTGTATTCATGATAGCAAGACTAATTATAGGTCTTTGGGCTGCTGTTGCTATAGTATGCTTATCCACCATCCATCTCTGTCTAAAGTCTCTATGACTTGCATTTGGGAACTAAGGTCAGGGACTTTTGAATTTGTTTGAAACTAAGAATATCAAGTCTAGGAGTCCTGTTCTGGAATAAATTCTTACTGATAAAATGATTTGACATTGCCAATTTTATTCAATTATATTAATCCTTTCTCTGAGGGTTAATATGCATTTTTAAAAATTGTCTTAAGCATTGATTAGTAATCAATCTGAAATGATGTTTATTTTGAAATACTCTCAATATCAGTATAAATGAGCCAGAAGGTCAAAACTCAAGTTTTAAACCAGAGTTTTCTATATCTGACATACTATAAGCAAAATATTAGGTTAAATGCCTAATGAAGACTTGAATGACAGTAGTGGTTGTAGTTAAATGAGACATGATACCTTGGTATGTGTCTTAGAGAAGTTTGAAGAGTCCTTATTCCTGAGAAGTTTATATTGATGTCTACCAAGAAACAGGTTTGTTTTTGTTTTTGTTTGCTTTAAGCAGCTAAAATAATAATCTTGTGATTTCATTTCTAACTTTCTCTATAACAGATCTTTTTCAATTGCCAGCTATAAAGTCAGGTGGTAGTCTCCGTTTGTAAGATTTCTTCCACAGCCTCTTCATTCCGATACTCTTGCCAGATGTGTTGATATACATAGAAGTAGAACGCTTGTTAAAGAACTGATATATTTCATGACATTATTACCATCATCATCATCATTATTATTTTGTTAAAGAACTGATCTATTTCATGACTTTTTTTTTTTTGGTACCAGGGATCAAACTCGACATTGTGCTTGCGAGGCAGGCGGGGTGCCACTTAGCTAAATTCCCAGCTGTGACATTATTTTAAATGTGTAATAATCTAATAATGCGTGATTTACTTTTTGGTTTTTTTTGTTGTTTGTTTGTTTGTTTGGTACCGGGAATTGAACTCAGGTCCTTGCGCTTGCGCAGCAGGCGGCAAAACCACTGAGCTAAATCCCTGGCCCTTGTGATTTACTTTTTAAAGGCACCTTCCTAGATAATTGTTTAAATAATATCAACTGCATATATACAGACAGCTCTACTTTAGATATGAAGAAGGAAGTTATTCATTAAAATTGAGCTAATACTTTTAGAATGTACTTTAGAAATGTAATTTGTAACCAGTATATGAATTTGAAGAATCTGTGTTGACATCCTTGATTACCTTTACAGACTTTAGTGTATGTGCATACGCTGTGCATAAGTGTGTATGAATAGAGTTTGGCTGTTCAAGTTGGAAAAATAAAAGGGAAAAATGGTTACCGGGATTACTAAGAGAACACAGAGTATAAAAGGCCCCCATACAAACCTATCAGGAGCAATAAGGATACTTAGAGAAGTAATATACCAGTCTGTGAGAAGTTATTTTAAAAAGAAAGTTAATAAGATTACCAGAGGTCAGTTAGCCTGTGTCCTGAACCCCAGTTTTACTGCCTTTCCCACTGCCATCTCTGTCTGGACTCCCTTTTCCTCGCCTTCTGTTTAGAATTTAGTTTAAATCCCAAGCCGAGGTCTATATACTTGGCCTCCATTCCTAGCCATGTCTTTTTGCCTATCTGCATGTGTTATGGCTTGTGTTTAAATGTCCCCCCAAAGTCTCATGCATTTTCAGAGGTGGCTGAATCTAGTGTGTGTGATTGATTCATGGTGGGGCCAGGCCCTAGTGCACTAGTATTAAGGGCATGAGTGCTACCCACCTTAAATAGTCTGAATAAGATAAAAGGGGCAGAAAGATGCTGTTAAGATCCCTTGCTGCTTTGCTACCATCTGTCCACCATGAACTGTTGCCCCTCTGCCACTCTGCCTTGGAGCCAGCCAATTATCGACTGAAACCTCTACAAACTGTAAGCTAAATAAACCTTTCCCCCTTTAACTTTGTGTGCCAGGTATTTTGTCTCAGCAACGAGAG